GATTTGAAACATACACAAAGCAATTCTGTACTTTCACTTTGTGGTATAAATTTAGTTGATCAACACGAAAGCAAGTCACTCCTGCACAGTACAAAATTAGCTGTACAAATTGCAGACAGAGATGGGTGAATAATCACTTTGATTCATTGTCAAAGCAAACAGAAATTAAAAAAAAAAAAAAACCTCAAAACTTGAAACAAAATTAAAAAATACTTGCAATACTTGCTTTTTCTTTCTCTTCCAGCTCTATGGTAGGAAAAGTTTTTAAACATCCTTTCCTAAGACAGAAAATTTTTGGTTAAAAAGAAGATTTCAGACTGTAAAATGTAAACTAAATTAAAGATCTGGAGGGTCCAAGCTTAGATCCTGGCCACCCACCCAAAGGGATATGTACTTCTATGGATGGGGTGCCGATCACATGTACACAGGAGTTGATCTGTGCAGAGATACTGCAGAGACCGTTCCACTCACACAGGGGGATGGGATGCCAATGCACAACTTTGTTTCTCATAGACATTTATTCACACAGCACCCACAGGCACTGTTTTCCAGGACAACTACACCCAGACCACTATCCTGAGAGGTCTGAACTGTGGATTCAGATCAGCCTCAAACTGGAGGGGGATCTGAGTTTTGTGATCCAATGAAGTACAGAGATGAAGCACTGCCATCTCCCCTGGGAATATTGAGAATGTCTGAACGTTTCCCTTTCTCCAGCCAAAATGTTCAAATTCAAAACAGGTTCACTGTCCATCTACCCAACAATTGAAGCTGCATTTGGGAGGCAGGCTTACTGTTTTATATAAGCAATCCTGTCACACTGTGAACTGTGCCATTCTTGCTGCTCCTCCTTCCTTCCTCTCAGAGTGCTGGCTAGGGGACTGTCTTCCCCTTCTTCTTCCCTTCCCCATCCCCCTCAGTTAGATTAAAACAGATGGCAGAGGGACACAAAATAAAGAGCAAACACAGATGAGTGACTAATTCTCCAAAAGGAGCCAAGAAAAAAAAAACACACAGCAACAAACCCTCAACTTCATCACTAGAAGCACCAGCAAGGAATGCATAATTACTTTCTGAACATCATTCTTCCATATAAGTAAATGCAGAGGTTGCTACAGACTTGATGACAGTAAGTGGGGAAGGTATCCCCTGAGCAGGGTTGACAAGCAGCAATGGAATACGCTGCAACCCAACAGATCTAAGCAGAGAACATGGCAAAAGAAGAGAGGAGAGCATCACAGACTAACCCCCCCCCCACAATCCAGCAGCCCTGTTCCCCATGCAGGTTTTACTCTACTCATTTACCAGGTGGAGCTGAAAGACAGCTCTGGTGGTACCTCTGCAGGAACTACCCCTGGAACAGAACTCCCCTGATCCCCTGTTATCTGGGTTTATCACACTCAGGACTGAAGTATCTGGTGTTTTGCAGGCTGGAAAACACAGAGTGTCTAGTAATGCTGGCGGAGTAGCACAGGAAGAACCACAGCCTTCTGCAAGGAGACGTGCCAAAGGAACCATACCCAGCATGCTGCAATTCATGTGGCCTCAGGAGAAACATGAAGGTGAGTTTCTCCCCTCACCAGGGAGGTGAGGACAGGAGCTATTTCTGCACTTGACTCTGCCTCTTTGCCAGAGGTTAACAACTTCACACTGCTTCTCACAATACTCTAACAGTACCCAGCATCACAAGGCAAGTTCTCCTTCCCTGGCAGCATGAGCAATCCCTCTGATTCTGCATTTCAGCTGCTTCAGAGGAAGTAGAACCTTCCTCCTCTCGATTTTGCTCTAAGTGCAACACCATGGCAGTAGAGACATCTGAGGTGATAACTTTCTGGGCTAAGCCTGTCAGAGTTTGACATTTTAACCATTTGGAACTATTTCTGTTGGCTGAAAGAATTTGAAGCACTGTCCAAAAATTAAAAGCAAGCATCATCTTTATAGCACCTGACTGAAAACATACTGCAGTGTATCATTTTACCAACACAGGGACTTTTAGATTGGTAACACAGCTAAGAAAAGCAGGTTTACTACGCAACTTCTGTGCTTTGCATTCAAGGCACAGAAATGGACCTATTTATTTATTTATTTATTTATTTATTTTATCCTTCTGTAACAAATCAAAGTCTCTGTGTTCAGGCAATAAATGGATTTGTGCATTTCTAAGCTGGAAGCACGTACTCTCTAGGACTCTGAAATTTGTTTCCTTCATGTGTTATATTGATATTCATGGCATGCTTCAAAGCATATCTATTTGCCCAGGCTTCTCCTGAGAGGGTGCTTGTTAGGCAGAATTCTGTATTATCTTCAGTTGTTATTAGCTCAATTGATTTATCTGTAATTTTGCAGTAATTTATGGTATGTGTTTCTAGAAATAGGTCTGTTGTGACCTTCTGTGATAAATGACTTCAGTTAACAGAGACTTGAACTGCAAAACCTAAACATCTTATGAGTTACTCCTCCACCCCCAGTACATTTCAGATTCAGAATGTGCTCAGTCCCATGGAGTCATGTTCCTTGCTCTGCCCACACTGAATGCCCCAGGCATCTGCTGGGATTCTAAAGGTCCTAACACTCCACATAGGAAAAGGGCATACTTCCAGATGGCTACCATTACAGAGCAGGTTACATCCTGTAAACAGAAGAGCCTGGCACAAATATCTATAAAACAGCAGCAATGAATACTTGGGTGACAGTCTTCAATTCTGCTGAGGGTCCATGCTATCAGCCTGAATGAAATCAGAACACACTCGATGACAATCTGAAAATGACAGAGAAAACCACATGGCAAGTAAGAGCACTGCTGTCACTGCACTTACAAAGAGTAGTGCAAATCTTTGCACTACTAAGGAAACCTACTTATTCCTACACACCATTTCTGTGAACACACTATTTTCTTTACTCTGTATTATCAGACTGAATAATCTTTCAAAAACTATTAATCAGCTTTCATTATAAATTCCATTCTAAATTGCTTTTTGCTTGCTTGCAATTATGAACTAATATTTAAAGAACCAGAAATTTATAAGGTAATTAACAGTAATGAGTAACTGTTCTGAAATATGATCAACTGCTGGATATCAACAGAAGACTTAGTTTTTCCCAACAACAACAAACCTTTTTTATTTTTTTTTTTTTTAAAGCAAGAAGATGGAGGTTTTTTTTAGCAGAGGTTGAACATTCACTAGATAATACTATATCTGCCTATTCCTTCACTGGAAGGCAGCTATCTACGGACAAAAATATCTGCAACCTAGCAATTACTGCGAATTCAGAAGGTTTTAAGGTGACACTGACATGACAAAAGATATATTTTTATGCATGTGATGTATATTTCAAGTTCAGAAAGAGGGGCATGGAGAGAGAAAGAGAGCACGCGCATGCTGTAATCAGCTCATGCACAGGGCAAGATTCTGCTCAGTGTTTGTACATAACACAAAATAAAATGTATTGCCTGTCCTTGTCCTTCCATACAGTTAAGAGTTGGGGTCAAGCAGTGATAAAAACCTTTGTAAGTAGCCCAGTAGCACATTAAGCATTGCCCTGGTTAGAATATCAAACAAAATTTGTCCAAGAAACTAAAGGCTATTTACAATATATGAGTTTTTTTAAAGCCATTTCAGCACAATACAAAAAGGCTGTAGTTATGCTAATGAGGCCCATTTTTCCTGGGTGGAAAAAAAAAAAAAAAAAAAGTCACCTATTTAATTTTTCTCTTCTTGTAGCACCCAGTGCAACAGAAACACAACTCATTTACTATAGTCCAGAACTGGACAGAGGAAACTCCACCAAGGGGTTCGTCCAGTAGAGCTTCCATGCACAAGAAATGGTACACCAGAACTCACAAGAGGATGAAACCCAACTTGATCTTCTTCCTGTGAGTTACAAGTTCTGGTCCAAAAAAGTTAGGAGCTCCTACTTCAGTTCCTACTACAGAGCGCTCAGAAATCCTTTTTGATGAGAACATAGGGTGAAACAGCACATTCCCAGAACATAACCTGGAGTTCATTTGATCAGTATTTCCCTACCTTTTACTTCCCGCAGAGCCATACAGGGGCTGTACTGTTTCCATAGAGATGGCCACTACAGGAACAGCCAGCATTCAAGTTCTGGGCAGTTTATTATGGCAGCAGCCACAGAAAAGCAAAACCAGAGGAAAAGTAATGACATTCTCAGGTGTCTAATTAACATATATTTCAGTTTGACAATAAGTCATCCAACTGAAGCTTGAAGACATATTCAGCTGTTGCTGTTTAATTTTAGAGCTGCACAAGAAAATAGAAATTTTCAACACATAATTGTTCCATTTCCTACTTGTACGACAATTTTTCACTTTTCTGTTTCCTCTTGAAAACAATGTCCCAAGTGAAAGAGTCCATGCTTCTCTATACAAGCAAGGAGTCACATACTGATAGGAAAAAGCTAATTTATATATAGAGAATTATTTCACTAACTTTCTGTGAATTAAGGTTTTCAATGGTATTTACACTGCTCAGCAGTGTAGACGGCATTAGCCTAGAAGCAACATTAGTACTTACCTTAGGATGAGATTGCCCATGTTTAATCAGTTTCAAGAACCCACTACAATTCATTTGGAGTAAGCAATTAGCAGGAGGTCTGGCTCTGCACCGTGGGGGCTGCACTGATGTCAATGTCTTGCTTTAGGGACAGACATGGTTGTCCCCTTCAGTGATTTACATCACCCTACAGGGCAGTGCCATCTCAGGACCACTGCATTCTTTTCTCCCCTGTCTTTCAAACATGACCTTCACTTCAGCATGACCAAGGACAAAGAAAAGGCAGAGCATCCCACACAGCAGCAGCCAAGAACATCACTGTCTGGAGCCAAAATCATTTCAAACAATAAGTTTGAGTTTCCTGAAAGCTTGGAGCCTATAGTCTTTTAAGATGACAAATTTAAGATTCTCTGCAAACTGAAGATGCATGTTTTTACTTTTTCAACAGGTAACTTCTACTGGTAAAGATCACCTTTAAGAGGGACCATGGATTTAATAAACTCAACAGAACAAAACAGTACATCAGAAGAACTATTCAAGTGGGTGACATCCAAGATTCTCATTTCCATTACCCTGTCTGTGCTTGCGCTAATGACAACGGCCATCAATTCTCTGGTGATGACTGCAATAATTGTGACAAGAAAACTCCACCACCCTGCCAACTATTTGATCTGCTCTCTTGCAGTGACTGATTTCCTTGTGGCAGTCCTAGTGATGCCCTTCAGCATTGTCTACATTGTAAAGGAAACTTGGATCATGGGGCAAGTAGTGTGTGACATTTGGCTGAGTGTGGACATTACATGTTGCACGTGTTCCATCTTGCATCTCTCTGCCATTGCTTTGGATCGTTACAGAGCAATCACAGATGCTGTGGAATACGCACGGAAAAGGACACCAAAGCATGCTGGTATCATGATTGCAGTGGTATGGATCATATCCATTTTTATCTCCATGCCGCCTTTGTTTTGGCGGCACCAGACAACCAGCAGGGACGATGAATGCATCATCAAACATGACCACATTGTTTCCACTATTTACTCTACATTTGGCGCCTTCTACATCCCCCTGGCCTTGATTCTGATCCTTTATTACAAGATATACAAGGCAGCAAAGACCTTTCACAGAAGAAGTGTCAGCAGGATAGTCAGGGAAGAGGTAAATGGACAAGTCCTTTTGGACACAGGTGAGAGAAGCACCAAATTGACTTCAATGCCCAGCACAATGGAGAAAACATCAGATCCACTGGTGGACTGTGATAAAATCAACGTCAGCATACGAAGCCCCAGATCTGAATCTAAGCATGAGAAGTCTTGGAAAAAACAGAGAATCTCTAGTACAAGAGAGCGAAAGGCAGCAACTACTCTGGGTCTGATCCTGGGGGCTTTTGTGATCTGCTGGCTCCCTTTTTTTGTAAAAGAAGTAGTTGTGAACACCTGTGAAAGATGTCACATTTCAGAAGACATGTCTAATTTCCTAGCATGGCTGGGATACATTAATTCCCTGATTAACCCTCTAATCTACACAATCTTTAACGAAGATTTCAAGAAAGCTTTCCAGAAGCTTGTGCGGTGTAGGCAATATCTTTAAGAGCTTTTGTTCATATAAGCATAACATGCTCATTGCTTTTTTTAACGTGTATAAATTTATATAACTGAGAACACATTTGTTGTATTTAAGGAAAAGCACCAAGACTCTGCATTCACATTATGACTCTTTTATATAAGTAGCACTGGGAGCACAAATTGCCCAAGTTTTAAAGAGATGGATCTTCCAGGATCAGTTTTGCTCTGAAGAAAGAGGTAGCATATATTCATTGAGGCCCTGACCGTGCTGGCATTTGCAGAGCTGCTTAGTTTGAAGCATATAGGTATTACATAAAATATGAAGGAAATATACACTCTTGAAGTAGATAAAAGAAACAAATTTTAAAAAGAAGAAAAAAAAAAAGCAACCCTAAGTGACTGATGAAGTTTTAAGTAAACGGCAAGCAGATATTGGTCCCTACTATCAGTAAAATGGAAAATACAACTTCACAGGCCTGCAGCACAGAGCCAAGCTATTTTGAACAAAGGGTGCCAGCCTTAAATATTCCTAACATCATACTATACTGACGAGCTGTGTTCTGCTCCAGCCCTGCCCCCTCCCAGGACATTCATGTGTTATGCCCTTGCAATGCCCCAGTAGTAGGCAAGACACTTTCACAGCTCAGTAGTTCATAGTGAGCCAATATTATGTGCCCTCTGCCATTGCACACTCAAGACACACATGGCCATAGCCCCAAGGGAATGGTATGGTAGTCAGTATACCTCCAGTGATTAGGATCTCAGAGCCTGGTGCTCTGGGACTCCATTTCAGTAGGATCTATGGTAAAAATCTGCTGGTTGTCCTTCTATTGTTTTTAGAAACATGATATAATCCCTGCTCATGACCTCATCTCTATCTCACACGCCTGTCCAGGCACAATCCCTCTATATTTTTGAGTACCAAACTTATCCACTCAGTTTGTGCCAGGGCCCACATATCATTGCTGATGGTGGCTGGCTTACTGAGGTTTGGTTTAGAGCCACCAAATGAAGTTCCAGCTCAGCGCATGCTCCTCCAGCCCCAGAAGCAGGATGTCCCCCACATCTTTTCTCAACTGTGCCTCAAGCACTAAGGTTGTGCACCTTCTTCCCAGTCATATTAGGAAGCAGATTCCAACCACAGTTTAGGCAGCGTGGGTCTTTAGAAAAACCTCTGTAGCCCTTCTCCAGAAAGGGCAGGGAAGTGCTCTCAGAGTACACACCTGGGAAGGGATCCCATAGGATGCTAATTGGAGGAATGCCTCCAAAACCCCACTTCTCCCAAAGCATCTGGCACTGGTCCCAAGTCCCAGAAAAGCTGAAAAGACCTCGTATGCACTCCAGCTTGTGTTTTTCCCCCAAGATACAAGCTGCCACAACAGCTGTCAGAGGTGTTTCATGAAAGATGATGAGGTTTGAGACCTGAGAAATTGAACTAATTTGTTTCTGTCACTTGAAATTTACTGTATTCTGCTTTGACATCAAGATCCAAATGAGATATTATTCACAAGTACCAGAAACCATGCGTTTGTTTTACTGTTGATTTTAACCCCTCTAGGAAGCTAGTGGAAAGCTTACTTGTCACATCATGTAGCTCTAGTGCAGCAGAAGCACAGCTAAATTTTGAAGGCACTAGGATGCGGCAGCATGTAATTTGGCTTGTATGCCGCATAAAGTAATGCATTTGATAACTCTGCTGTCAGAGTACAGCTGCAGCAGCCCCTGTGACCTCAGCGATGGCTATATTATGCTGAAAGAAAATAACTGTGTTCAGGATCAGCTGTGCTCTGCTGTCTCCAGAAAGTCACAGAACTCAGCTTCATCAAAGGATTACCAGATTAGCAGAAGGCCGCAAGGAAAACCACAGTGAAACGTTTAAGTTTGAAGAACTGTTTCCCTTGTTTTTTTAAGTACTAACTCTGGATATTTAAAGCCAAGGCTTCCTCTTCCCCTGCTCTTCCCTATAAATCTGCTGGAGGGCAGAGTGTACTATTTTTCCTCTTACAAGCAAGATGTTTGACAATGTCTTGTGAAAGCAAATTGGAAGAAAAAACAAGGATTGCTTTTGAGGAGAAAAGGTACTGAAGATACTCATAATAGATAAGGCTCAGAGAATAGAATAGTATGTAGATAAATAGAAAATAGCTCTCACTTATGCGCTATCAACAATACCATACTCTGAAACTAAGCTGCTAAATATTTCTCAAAATGCAGGGTGGGTTTTTTTTGTAACCTTCTCACTGAGCTCTATGCACTCATCCTCCAAAAGTGGTGGAAGATGCAACTACAAGAAACCTAAGCAAGCAAGCAGGTAGTTATCTCATTAAAAGCACTTACAGATTGTGGACTATCATTTCTTGGTGTCTGAAACTTCCATGGTGACAAACACTCCATTACACATCCCCACACAGTACCGTTTCTTTAGCATCTATCTGTGCATGTGACGTGCTAAGAAAACCTCTAATTTTCTCTTTCAAGATGCATAATGGCTAAGTTTTCTGCTGGATCAGTTTTCCCTTCCCCACAAGATACACAGCCACCAACTGGAGCTTAGCACTGAATTAAAAAAGCAAGAGAAAGACCACAAGATTTTATGCACTGGAACTAAGACTTATTTTTTACAATTAGCTCTTTACCCTGTAGGAGTTCAGTCCTCCAAACAGAAAAAGAAAAAAAAAAAAAAAAAAAGTGTTTTCTTAACTGTTTCTCAGAAGAGAACATAATTATTGGAGGAAAGGGTTTTCCATCTACTTCTGCTTTGGACAAAGCTCCCTGGACCCCTATCGCTGCAGCAGCTGCCCTCCCAGTTGCTGCTAACTGCCCAACTGCCCGTCCATTTAGATTGCTTCAAACACTTGGAGAACTGGATTTGGAGCAGCTGACCTACTCCCACTTCATCTTTCACAGAGGATGATTCCAGAAGTAGCTATGAATGCTACATCCAATTCAGGTAGACATTTTTACTAACAGTAAGTTAAGTACACCTCATTTTTCTGTGCTTAGTCCTTCTCCTTCCCTCCCTACCAATTGCTGTCCTTTCCTCTTGAGGATAGCACATTCCTACAGAAGGACTGGGGTATTAATACACTTTTGTTTTCATGACGCAGTCACACTTGTTAATGCATGACTGTACCACCCAGAAACACCCACCTCATCCAAATGCGCTTTTGGCAATCACTGCCTTCAGCTGGTGTCTAATTGTTCTTAGCATTAGGGAGGTGCACAGAAATAAGTATCTGCCAAATTATTTTCTCCAGTAGTTACAAACTCAGCACATTACTTCCAGGCAAGCACACTTTCCTACTTGGCCTTTGTATTTCATATTCCTTTGCAGAAGGGAAACAGAAAATCACTCCTGTGAGCTACAGAAAAGGGAGGGCTTTTTAGAGCTCTGAAGATCAAAGAAAAAAAAGGCTGCAGGAAAAGCATGAAGAAACTCTTGTAGCAGACCTGTAAAGACTGAGCATAAATCTAATGCTTGCAAGCATTTCAGAACCACAAGAAGTGAGTTTTACCTGCTGTTTTCTTCCCTATTCCTCTTCTGAAAAGTGCTGCTACACTACAGGGACAGTACTATCAATATCAGAACTATTAAAAATACCAGCAATATGTTGCTATCCCCTCCCCTGCACAATCCTGAAATGTATTAAGGAGAATTTTTCTTTAGGATTTTCTATTTGTCTTCTGAGGAGCCTAATTTCTAGTTTGTTGTTGTTTCTCTCCTCAACCAAGAAGAATAAACCTTTAAAATAAAAATAAACATTTCTATGACCTAGGGTTTCCGGATACATTCAGTAAATAAATAAATAAGTAAATAGATCAAAGCTTTGGTGATACAGAAGATAAAGACTACAGAGTACAGAACAGGCAGAAGTCAGCAGCATTGGCATAAACAGTCAAATTTACCAATTCAATCTGACACAGCCCTTCAAGTATCAAAACCCTCTCACAGCAGACAGCAATGACTGAAAGAAACCTTATATCCTCAGGAAATTGCTGAACTCTGAATTTTCTAAAATCCACTTGTTTACTTCATGTTGAGTTGTTGACTTGGTTGAGGCAGAGTAAAAAGGCAAGGAAAGTGTTTACTGAACACTTCTATTTTTTATACACTAGTAGTTCAAGTCAGTGGTATCCACTCTTCAAGTTACATGTTTATTTGAACTTTAGTTTTGTAGGTATAAATTCTTGTGTAACAGACAAACAGCACTAAGACAGTTAACATCCCTTTCCATTTTAAAATGAGAAAGATCCTACAAATGCACAATACTTTCTCTTGCTAAATTAAATCTTTTCCTGTTCTCCCCATACACCCATTGATTTGAATTTCAGAGCAGTATATTATAGCTTGTGTTTAAAAGACAAAAAACAAATTTAATGCCACACAAAGTGCTAACTACAAAGGTGAAGCTAGAAAAGTGATTAATTTCCTTGCTTTCAGTTTGGATCATGAGGGGTAGTAGACATTTAATGCAATAGCTAGCTCTCTGCTGGCAGTACTCCAAGATGCAAAAGCTGTGTCTAATTTGTATGACAGCAAGCGTCTGCTAAGCAACTCACTTTTGGCTAAGCCCAGTTTTCTGCATTTCGCAGTACAAAGCTGCATAAAATGATCCAGAGCCATGAAATAAGAAATCACTCTGTTTGCACACCTACCTTTTCTAAAACGATAGTCACTGGGAGATAACTCTTCCACAAACACATACCATTAACCAGAAGGGGCAAAGCTGTGTCTTTATCCACAACAAAAACAACCAAAAGCTTTCACCTCTGCTTCCTTTTTGGGAGATAGCCAAAAAGCCTGACAAGACTGAGGACCAGGTGGGCTCAACGCAGACCAGCACTGCTGCCCCACCACATGCAAAATGAGGTCTCTTCAAGAAGAATGCCACCAATAACAAGCTTACTCAGCACTGGCTAGTAACAAAAAAAAAGAACAGTCCAGTATTTGGCCTGTCTTCCCTTGCTAGGGAAGTCCAGCTTGGTTTTAACAGCCTTTTCAGACAGCTGATCAGTTCCTGCCGC